GGATCTGAAACTTGAACCCAGGGCTCCTGACCTTTAACCCTGGGCTCTGTCTATATACTATGGTGCTGTTTCCCCTGGAAGACCTGATGGTAAATTCCAGCACAAGACACTGGTAGATGCTGAGTTGCTCATAGGTCATCAAGAGGGCCTTAGTGGTCAAAAGACAGTGAGTTGAATGTGAGCTCTAGAAGTCGGCAGAACTAGGTTTAAACTCTACCTTTCCCACCTATTTGTTTTGGGATCTTGGGCAAGTCTCTTTACTTCTCTGAGTCTCAGTTTCCTCATCTGGAAAATGGGGGTGATAATAGTACCTATCCCAGAGGGTGGCTAGGAGCTTAACATATATGAATGGTGCTCGATGATGTACCTGGTAAATTCTCCATTGGTACTTATTTTGGCTCTGATTATCTGCCAAGGTGAGTGGTGAGTGGTTGTTCTCGAGAGCACAAGGGGCATCTGGAAACAAGCTCAAGGGAGAGCCTTATCCACAATTGAGAGCCTCATCTGGGTAAAGTTTCAGCCACTGTGCAGACAGAATTTTCATGAAAATCAGCTCCCAAAATGTACTTGCCAAGCCTTTGGAAATTCAAGCCACACTGCCTGACCTTGGTTTTTACCCAGTTTGGTGCATAACTCATTGTTTCAAAAACATACCCAAGCTGTGCGTGTGCATGTGCGAGCCTGGACGTTGCTTCTGTGCACAGAGACGGCGTGGGTCCCAGCCCACGGAAGCGCCAGGTCCGTCAGGGAAGGCTGGGCTCTGCTGCAGTCACAAGTGACCCCCAATCTCAGGGCCTTCCAACAGCAAAGTCATTGTCCCCGTCCTTCGTGGCTCAGCGGGAGCTCTGGCCCAGGTAGGCACTCGGGCACAGAGGCTGAAAGAGCAGCCACCAACTCAATCGACTCAGTGGTTTCTGTGCCCGGAGCCAAGGGAAGGAGGGCTCCGGGGGTCTCGCTCTGGCCTGGAAGGGATTCATGTCCTCTCCGAGTCCGAACGCTGACAGCGCCACACTGAGACAAATCCTGGCGCCCGGGTCCTCCCCTGTCTGCGTAGAGGGGACTAGAACAGTGCCCACCTCAAAGGACTGGAGTGAGGGGCTATGTGGGACAACGCTGAGGAACTCTTGAAACAGTGCCTGGGACCAGGGAGAAAGAACTTGATAAATGATGGGTTATAATAGCCAAAAAGTGGAAACCACGCAAACATCCATCAGCGGATGAACGGCTAAACAACTCGTGGTGAATCCACACAATGGGGTACTGGCCGGCCGTGAAAAAGAGCGAAGTACCAATATATGATCATGGATGAACCTTAAAAACACTTATGCCAAGTGAAAGAGCCAGTCATAAAAGGTCTCGGGCTCTAGGATTCCGCTTATACGAACTGTCCGGAATAGGCAAATCCAGAGAGACAGAAAGTAGATGGGTGGCTGCCAGCGGCAGGGGGAGGAAGGAACTACGAGCGACTGCTAAGAGGTACAGGGTTTCATTTGGGGGTGATGGAAATGTTCTGGGATTAGTGGGGACCGTTTCACGACATTGTGACTGCACTAAAAACCCACTGAATCGTGCACTTTAAAATGGTGACGTTTATGTTATATGGATTCTATCTCAATATTATAAAAAATTAAAATAAATAAAATAAATAATGATGATAAATAAACAATGGGTAAACAATGGTCAGGCCCCCCCCCAGCCCCCTGCAGAGTTGTTTGCCTCCACCCCCAAACTGCAAGTCCCCATTACAATGCCTTTCTCTGTTTTGTCGTTCCTGCGGGCTGGTCTGGCTCCCTGGCCCAGGGGACCCTTCAGGGCCATGTATGTCTTGGATCTGGAGCCTGCGGGAAACTGGGCTCGTGTCTGCTCTTGCCACAGGGAGACCCCTCTCCAGTCTCCCCAGTCGCTCCTCCTGCTGCCCCCAGGACCCTGTGGGATGCCTGGGAGGGAAGAGCCCTTGGCCATCAGACACCAAGCCCCTTCCATTCAGTAATGCAGAGATCCAGGTCCGGGGGGGTGGTTTGCCCCGTGTGCCACACCGAGATGATTGCAGGGCTGGGCCAGGCACCCCGGGCACCCCACGGCAGACCCGGTGCCCCCGCCGTGGTGCTGGTGCATCCGAGGGCGGGCCGTGGGGCTGGCCCAATGCGGAGAGGCTCTTGGGACTTCTCAGAAGCCCTCACACCAGACAGGTGTCCAGCCTGGCGTGTGAGGATGTGGAGGAGACAGAGGGCTGGTGGGATGGAGGAAGGCTGAAGTCAGACGAGGAAGGTCTCCGCTGCTTGATACTTCCTGTTTTTATCACCGCTGTAGTCGTGGGAAACAGTTGTCACCACAAAACTAACACCAAACCCACAAGTTTCCCTTGTGCACACACCCATCGCTCCCAGTGGCCTCTCTCTGGGACCATGTCTGCCCCCACCCTCTCACCCCAGGCCCACACAACTGGGGTCCCCCATGTCAGGGATGAGGCTGGACCCTGAGATGAACCAGCCCCTCTGGGAGCCCCCCCCCCAGAGCCAAGAGCCCAGCCCCCCGGGGTCTGACCCGTCCCTCTTCCAAGAGCTCTGCATTCACGCATTTATGGAGCACCTGCTACTGCGTACCAGCTCCCGCATGACTGAGATTAAAGGGTGTCGAAACCAGCCTGTGCAAGACTCACTTGAGACAGGAGTAATCAGGCTGAGCTGGGGTATAGCTCAGGGCCCAGCCCTTTCCCAGAACCAGAGGCCCCAGCAACTCCCACCCCAACTCTGAAAGGTCACTCTTGTCATGTCCCTAGGAGCCGTTTTTTATAAGGAGGGGACACGTTCGTGAAATGGGGTAGGCGGCCACAGATGCCGCATTAAAGGACTCAGACGTACGGTGGGTGAATATGGTTCCATTTCTGACGTGAAAGGGGAGTCTCAGGTGGATACTCTCCGTCTTCCTGACCTTTCTGACCTTGGCTAACCTCCCTTTGAACGCAAAGACTGGCCCTCAGATTCAGAACAGTCGAGGCACCAGAATCCAGCTAGCATTTCAGATCTCTACTTGATTAACATTGTCCTCACGCGATTGCATAGCTTCTATTTATGGCGATCCTGCAAGTTTCCCATTTACATAGTTTCCTTTTGGAAAATAAATTATTTAAGTGGAGATGAGTTGATTTTTCTAAAAACACCAAGTAGCTATCCGCACAGGCAGAAGGGAAAGTGGGTTTGAATGTTTGGGAAGTTCGCGAGGCAGTCCGAGGTTTTCCGGGGCTGGGAGTCCTGGCTTCCCCTGCTGGAGGGACCCTGGCCCAGACATGTCCTAACTGACTCAAGGTGGCCCGAGTCTGTGACTTGCAAAAAAGCATCTGAGTGTCAGGCTCCCTGCCTCCAGAGCCACACCGGGGTGGACCTTGGAGGTCCTGAAGGCAGATGGCTAAGTGGAGGCCACCCTCCCTTGGAGGCTGCCTCCTCGTGGGTGTGGGAGCTGCTCTGCCACCTGTGACTCAGGACCTGGAAGCGTCGCCCTCCTCTCTTCCCTCCCCCTTCCCCATAGCTTTTCCTACAGACCTCTCAAATCACAAGCAAGGGGTCTGATTACTTGGACTTCCCCCTCGCTCCCTACTGTTCTAGGTAAAGTTGAGGTTCCCTGGCACAGAGCCTCTCCTGGCACCCCATTCCCTGGACCACAGTCCACTTTCCCTGTGCCTCCTCTTCTGGGTGCAGTCTCCTCCGTGGTTCCTGGCTGCGGAGAGAAGCTGCCCTCAGAGGGTCCGAGGTGGTTTTCCAGCACCTTCCTTTGAAACGCTACCACCACCACCACCACCACCACCACTCAGATCCGTGGGAATCCTGTAGAACAGGGCTAGGACTAGGGTGAGGGAGGTGAGGTGCCCCAGGTGCAAAATTTATGGAGGCACCCATTGTCAGTGGTCACCCCGATGGTGAGTGTCTCCTTAACCACGTACTCTAGGTGCCTGGCTTGCCCCACATGAGCCCCCCACCTGTTGCAGAGTCCAGGAGAAAGGAAACCTGCTGGTGAGAAGGGTGCTCCAGGGATTACTGGGGTTCTGGGGAATTTTCACAGCAGTTACCCTCTTGGGATCACACAGCATCTCAGGAGCTGATCTGCAAGGCTGCTGCCTACACACGGCTGTATGGGCTGTGCACTGAACAAGGGTGGGAAGCCAAGGGGGAAGGGTGGCTGAAATCTACGTGTCTCCACGTGCGTCCGAGCGTGGGGCCCACGTCAACCTGGAGAAGGGGTCACCTTCTTGTATTTTGTCCATCGGCGACTGAGCCTTTCAGTACTTCCTCCGAGAGCATGGACGGTGCCCGCGGTGGCCCAGCACACAGCATGAAGCACAGGTGATTAGAGAGGGACAGGGACTTGCCCTAGGACAGACACCAGCAGGGCCAGGACCTGAGTTTCTAGAATCTTTACTGCATCTTCTATCCTTTACTTTCCATCGCTCGAGTACAGTGTGTTAGGCCACGGAGTGTTTCCCACAAGCAGAGGTAAATCTAGCCCATGACGTCCCTTTCGTGTCCCTTCTTGCCCGCCCCTCCCCCGCCCCGCCAAGCCCGAGTTAATTCCCGCCCCGTCTTTTCAGCAGCTTGGACTTGCCTCTAATCCCGAATCTGTCTTCCCCACTGGACTAGATCCCTGGAGGCCAGAGACCGTGTCCCGTGTCCTCGGTCTCAGCACAGGGTCTGGGAGATTGTAAGTGCACTGTGCATGCGTCACCCACATTTCCGGGGACCTCTGGGGGCCCAGTCTCCGCACCGCGAGGCCAGAGCACTTAATAAGACACAGCCCAGGAAGCAGAAGTAATTTAAGGATAATTCCAACCGTGACTTGTGTCCCTCTAATACCCTCAACATCGTCTTCCCTGCACGGCCCTGTCCCCTTTCCTCTCCCTCTCTGTAACACAAAACCTGGAAACCAGATTGTCCAAGAGCCAGAGTCACCCTGCAGGGAGAGAGCCGGCTGTCCTCCCGGCCCGGGGCCCCGCCTGCTCCGGGGCACAGGGCCGCGCTGCTGGGCGCGCCGATTCCCGGCCTCCCTCGCAGGAGGGGCCCCGGGGACCAAGTCGCAGCCCCTGCAAGGTCACCGCAGTGATGGAAGCCACTTTCAGCCCGAGGCCTCCGGTCACCGCGGGCCTTCTTCTTCCGCCCCGCTGGCTGAGGCCAGACATGGCAACAGCCCAGGGAGGTGCCGACGGAGCCCGCGGGATGGAAGGGCTGGACGGCGTGGAAGGAAATGGCCCTCGGACTGGGCAGCGCGCAGGCGGCCTCCAGACGGGCACACTCGCCGGGCCTGCTGTGTGAGAGAGGGACACGCTCCTGTCCTCCTTACAGTGCTCTCTTTGGGGGGTTCTCTGCCTCCACAACGAGCAGTTTAGTCTTCCTGGTAAATAAGAGGGCCGGGAAGGGAGAGAGCCTGGCTGAGGAGTCCCAACCAGAATTCTCTTTAGGAGAAAGGGGGAGCGGAGTCGGGACCCCCGCACGTCGGGCTCTGTCGCCTCACACGTTTGCGGCCTGACTGAATGGCCAGGGGTGCTCGCAGCGGCAGTGAAGCAGGACGGTTTCTTGTGTAACTACAGGGGAAGGGGAAAGAATGGGGTCACCCGGCATCCGGGTTCAGTGCCAACACTCAAACGTAACAGAAGCAACCCCCACTCTTCTTCTAAAGGACTCTGCTCCTGCCGTCCTTCCCTGGGGGGAGGGCAAGAGCAGCCCCCCTCGTCTCACAAGGGCCTCCGCAGAGGACAGTGGGAGGCTTGCCCAAGGTCACCCCGGCCATTAGAGGCGGAAGGGCCAGGGAAACCCCAAGAAAGGATTTGGAGCCAAAAAGGATTTGGACCTGGAAGCAGACGGGGAAACCAGCAAGGGAACCTTGCCGAGGTGGAAAGACTAACTCAAGAAGCTGTAGCCAAAGACAATGGATGGAAATGACCTAAGGAATTCCAGGAAGGAGAGAAGCCTCTGGTCCAGGCACCTGGTGGGCTCCTCACAGCCTGCAGAGCCACCACCATTCACGCCCACAGAGCTGGGGCTGGTGGGAGACTCGAAAGCTCAAGCCCTGAGCTCTGAAAAGGAAATGCCAGAACCACAAAGTTCTAATGTGAATTGTCTCAGCCAAAGTAGACAAAACTGGCCTTGGGGAGGGAGGGAGAGGCAAGACCTGGACGGGCCTGTCTTCCCAGGTAACATCTTTCATTCAACATTCCTTGAACATTTCTGGAGCTCCTACCACGTCCTGGGCACCTCTGCAGCCTAAGGATACAGCCATGAACCAAACAGAAAAAAACCCCCACCATCCGTGGGCCCCACATGCTGGTGGGGGAAGCAGACCTTAAAAGACAACCACAAGAAATACGTCAGTTCCGTCGTGCCAAGATGCAGCGTGTGCTATTAAAGCAAAACAACAGGACCAGGAGTGATGGAGATGAGGCTGACTACATAATCTGCGGAGGCCAGTGCAAAATGAGAACGTGGGGCCCTGTTCTAAAAGCAGAGAAAACGAGCTGTTAAAGGTACACAGGAAATTTTTCCTTCTTTCTGCAGTCTCTCCTCTCTCTCTCTCTCGACTTGTCACTGTTTTCTATTTGCTATTTAATGTCATGTGAAGTAAAGAAAAAAATTAAATTTAAATTATCAGCATGCGTTTTACCATCCATTTTTATATTGTGCGATGCCAGCTTTGAAATGAAAATATTAGGGCATTCAACTTCTACGTGGAATCACAGAAGTTACACAATTTCTATTTCATCGCTTGTCCCCAAAGGTGCCCCAAACCTGCCAGAAGAGGCCAAACAGAAAGACTGGAAAGAGGAAGAGCTGATCCACCCAGCCACCCAGCCAAAGAGTAAGGGAGCACTCCTGGGCACAGAGAGACCCTCAGGGTAAAAACTCCCTGGGTTCCCAGGGGCCCTGCCCCATCATGGGGGACACGCCCACTCTCCAGAGCCTGCCGGCTGCCAAGTTCCCCTACCAAATCGTCCCTCCCACCAGATGCAGGACTGATGCATAGCACCCCGGATGAAGGTGGGGCCTGTGGAACTCAACTCCTCTCCATGGGTCCACTGCTCCAACCCTTGGCAGATGGGCAACCCCCAAGGGTCTTGAAACTTCCATTCTAGGATGTGCTCAGTACCTGGATCAAGGTCTTACCCCCACTGAGATGTGGCCTCTGGGCCAGTCACCTACCACATGTGCCCTGGCGCTGCCAGTGCAGGGCGGGGTTGGCCATGCCCCACCCCAAGACGCTGTGGGGTGCGTGCCCCCTGACCTCCCCACCCCTGTCCTGTGCCTGTGATCAGGGTCCTGCCAGGCACCCAAGACAGCCACAGTCATTGGGTGGGGCCAGAGAGAGGAGGCTGGCTGGGGCCAGAGGGACCAGTGGGCAGGGGAGCAGGCAACGTGTGGGAGCTGAGGCCAAGTTCCTGGCGCACACTCCCTTGTCCCTCCAGACTTCACTTACGACACACAAATCCAAAGATAAAATTATCAAGAACCTCAAGACAGCAATGGTGGAACATAAAGTGCAAAGCACGGGGCCCTTCTGACCACAGGGTCCTGCGCCAGGGGGCTGATGGCGCTCCCAGAATCCAGCCCTGGAGGGAGGAACGGTTGTCATTCTGAACAAATGTTCAGAGAAGGCTTTCATGAGAAGATGATGTTTGAGCAAAGATGAAGAATGAGAAGGAACGGGCCACTCAGATTCCAGAGGGAAGGGTGTTATGGGCAGAGGGAACAGCACGTACAAAGGCCCTGTGGCTTGGGCATGTGCCTAATGCATCCATGGGGTGGCAAGGAGGCCCGTGTGGTTGGAGTGGAGGAAGAAGGGGCCAGTACAGCAAGGCCCTGGGGGACAGTTTAGGGATTGGGGCTTTTGGTCTGAGAGAAAGGGGGAGTCAAGGAAGGGTTTTCAGTAGAGGAGTGACATGGTCAGACTTAGCGGGGGCTCCTGAGAGGTTAAGAGGAGACTGTAGGAGGCAGGGAGACAAGCAGAGGGCCACTGCAGTCATCCAGGAGAGGGATGAGGGTGGCATGGACCAGCCTTGAAGGATTCGTGGTCAGATTCTGGATATTTAGGAACAACCTAACATATATTTATTCAAGCCCCAGGATGCCGCCTAGGGTTCAAGGCTCAGGGAGTTAAGCAGGAGACCCGAGGTTCCAGCTGCGGTGGAGCCGGCATTCTGGTGAGGTGGGAGCAGGGCCCCTCTGACATGTCATTTCACCTGAAATCTGGGAGACATAAGGAGCCACTGTGAGATAGGGGAAAATCATTCCAAGCACAGCGCACAGCATGGGCCTCAGTTGGCTCAGGCTGCCAGAAAAGAATACTGCAGCCTGGCTGGCTGAAATGGAACTGTGGTTTTTTTCACAGATTTGAAGGCTGGGAAGTCCAAGATCAAGGTGCCCGCCAATTCGGTTCTGGTGAGAGCTCTCCTCCTGACTTGCAGACAGGCACCTTTTTTTGTGACAGTCTTCACCAGAGCCCCGCAAGCGATCTCTCTCTCTCTCTCTCTTTCCTCTCCTTGCAGAGGCCACCAGTCCTGTCAGATTAGGCCCCCTACACTCTTGACTTCACTTAACCCTCATTACCTCCTGAGAGCCCCACCTCCACACACAACCACACTGGGGAGCTTCAACGTATGAATTGTTGGGGCAGTGGGGAGACACAATTCAGTCCAAAGCTCACCAGCCGCGAGGTGCTCAGCGCCCCAGGGGAGGAGTACAGAGCAACCCTTAGCTGGGCCCAGAGGATGGGCCCTACAGGCTGGGTGGCCTCAGCAGCAGACACCGGATTCCATCCCACAGAGGCATATTGAGCAGGTGGTCCTGGTGGGGGGTTAGAGGCCTCCGTGTGAATCAGCCACAGCCCTGGTGAGTTAGGATAGGGTTTCTCAGCGTCAGGTTCTCAGTCCCCTACATCCAAAGGTCCTGGGCACAGATTCGCGCCCTGCCTGTAGCTAGGAGGGCTCAGAGGGTATTTTAAAAAAGGATCCCAAGGAGAACTGCTGCTGCAGGGGGAGGGGCAGGGCAGCTGGGCAAGCAGCTACTGCACCTGCAGAGGGGGCCCGGAGACTTCTGCTGGTGAATGACTTCTTGACGTACTGTGGCAGCTGGGCATTGTAGGGAGAGAGGGGGAGGGCATTCCAAACGGAGGGGACTGAAGAGGCAAAGACTTGGAGGCTGGGCACGACCAGAGGAGAGGAGCAGGTGGAGAGGTGAGCTGAGATTGTGCACAAGTTGTCTTTGCTCCCCACTGTGACCGAGGGGACGAGGTGTTCAGCGTTACCTGCAACGGCGGTGGGGACAGCATTATTGTGAAGAGGCCCCTGTTGGCTGCACAGGTAGCCCCCCTTTGCCCAGGCCCCCAGGAGTCACTGATGGATCATCTGGGTCCATTGGTCCAGCTGCTGTTCTTCCTGCTGAGGGAGGAGATGGATGGGCGATTTCACAGAGAACAAAGGGGCTGGAGGCCTGGGGGAGGGGATGATTGAGGACCTCTGTGGAGCTTCACGACCTTATGGCCCTTCCCTGGGTGGCCCTCAATGGGTTGGCTGGGCAGAGGGCACGGGAAACAGCCTGTCTTTCAACTATGGGCCCCAGCCTATTTTGGCTGCCCTTCTGCTCCGAGCAATCACACCCAGAGGGGTGCTGGAGCTGGGTGCTAGAGCTGAGTGCTGGAGCTGAGTGCTAGAGCTGGGCGCTGGCTGAGTGCTGAAGCTGGGTGCTTGAGCTGGGTGCTGGAGCTGAGTGCTGGAGCTGGGTGCTGGAGCTGAGTGCTGCTGGAACTGAGTGCTAGAGCTGGGCGCTGGCTGAGTGCTGAAGCTGGGTGCTTGAGCTGGGTGCTGGAGCTGAGTGCTGGAGCTGGGTGCTGGAGCTGGGTGCTGGAGCTGAGTGCTGGAGCTGGGTGCTGGAGCTGAGTGCTGGAACTGAGTGCTAGAGCTGGGCGCTGGCTGAGTGCTGAAGCTGGGTGCTTGAGCTAGGTGCTGGAGCTGAGTGCTGGAGCTGGGTGCTGGAGCTGAGTGCTGGAGCTGGGTGCTGGAGCTGGGTGCTGGAGCTGGGTGCTAGAGCTGGGTGGCTCACAGGAACAGACTGTTAAAATATTCAGGAACTTTTTAAGCTGGTTGTTAAACTTTTGGTTACTTGAAATTGGCCTTGGTGGCTGTTTTTACTGCATGGAAATTGGCAAAAAATAAAAAATCAAGGATCTTTTTTTTTTAATTCTTCCACAGAGCTGGTGAATTAGCACTCCACTGACAAGGAGCCACAGCCACTGGGGCGTGGGAAACAAAGACAAAAGAAAAACT